AGAAGGAAGGAAAAACGGTGTGAAGGGCGGAAATACCCCCCCCCCCCCCACACACACACACACTCTGGGGGCTCCAGACTTCAGCAGAACAGGGAGGGATTATCACACGGGCCACACAAAGCCGCGTTTCAGCCCAGCCACAGCCCCTGCACTGTGGATTGTTCTGGAGTCTGAATAGACCATTCAGCCCCTCCCATGCAGCCAGGCGGGTGGGTGGGGTCTGCGGGGAGACGGGGGGGGGGGGGGGGGGGGGGGGGCAACGGGCGGCCGGCTTCGAGGCTGCTTCCCCCCTGCCCTCACCACCTCCGTCTCCCCCAGCCTGGGGAGCATGTCCAAGGCCAGGAATCCTGGGTGGGGGGAGGTCAGACCCTCCTGCTCCCAGCAGCAAAAACGAAATAGGAAGGTGGGGGGGGGAGGGGGGAGGAAAGGAAGAAGGGAGGGAGGAGGAGGGAAGGAGAGAAAGAAGGAAGACAGGAAAAAAGAATTAAAAAGAATAAACGGAAAAACCCAAGTTCTGGTGGTTCTCCTGCAAGCAGAAAGTGCCTGGGAGGTCCCAGTGGACTGTGGCAGAGGAGCACTGCACGTGGAGCACTCCCCATGGAGCACTGTGGGGCATTTCCTGGGGCAGCACTATCTGGGGAGCACTTCCTGCAGAGCATTGTATGTGGGGCATTTCCTGGGGCAGCACTATCTAGGGAGCACTTCCTGGGGAACACTGGAGCACTCCCTGGGAGCACTCCCTGAGGAGCACTGGAACACTTCCTGGAAAGCACTGTTATGCGGGTCCTTTCCTGGGGCAGCACTATCTAGGGAGCACTTTCTGAGGAGCAGTCTGGGGAGCACTTCGAGGGGAGCACTCCCTGGGAAGCACTATCTGAGGAGCACTGGAGACTTCCTGGGGAGCACTGTATGCGGCGCATTTCCTGGGGCAGCACAGCCTCATCAAGTGTTTGGAGGCCTTGGAAGCTGCAATCGGGCAGAGAGACCCTCACAATCACCTGTCCTGCTGCTGCCCGGCGACCGCAGACTGTCCACAGTTATCTGGGCACGAGGTGGTGCGGGGAGGGTGTGTGTGTGGGGGGGGGGCTCCGTGCAGGAGAGCCCACTGGAGAAGTTTCTAGAACCATCCTTCTCCATGTCACTGTGTGCTGTGCATATGTATGATCTGCACACGTTGATTCTAGATGCAGGTACATGTTGTGTGTCTGTCTTTGGAGGCCATACCCGGCGATGCTCAGGGTTGTCTCCTGGCTCTGTGCTCACGGATCACTCCTGGCGGTGCTCGGGGGAATCAAACCCAGGTTGGCGTGCGCCAGGCGAGCATCTTCCCTGCTGTGCTGTCTCCCCGCCCTGTCTTTCCTTGTCAAAGGTCACTGCATGTCGGGCTTGCAGCAGAAACGCTGGCGCGAGATCAGCTGGAACTGTACCTTCCCTGAAGGCGGCGCCTGGATCCCGGCTGTCCCGCGCTCAGGGGGCCTGAGTCGCTATCCCTGAGGTCCTGGCAGAGACGCAGTTCCTTCACCGGCCTGGAAATCTTGCTCAACGCGGCTAAAAATAGCTCTGGGAAGGGCCACGCGCTCGGGAAGAGGCGGGAAGGGGCCCCTGGGCCCTCCGGGCTGGGGTGGGGGCTGGGCTGGGGAGGCGCAGGCTTCCAGCAGGTTCTCGGGCTCCCAGACATCCAAGCCGCCTCCCACAGGAGCTGCAGGAGCAGCGGTGAGGAGAGGGAGAGGGGCGGGGCGGGGACGACACAGGGAGACTCGGTGCCTCCAGCTCTATCAGGAAGCACTCAGTTCCGGTTAATGGGTGGGAGGGGGCAGCTCCTGAGCAGTGTCCATCCATCCGTCTGTCCACTCTCCATCTGTCCGTCTATCCATCTGCTAGTCCACTGTCTGTCCGTTCTCTCCATCCATCTGCTCGTTCACTGTCCGTCTGTCCACTGTCTGTCCATCCATCTGCTCATCCATTGTCTGTTCATCTGTCCATCCATTTGCTTGTCCACTGTCCGTCTGTCCATCTGCTCATTCAGTGCCCGTCCATCTGTCCATCCATCTGCTCGTCCACTGTCCGTCTGTCCATTCATCCATTTGCTCATCCACTGTCCGCCTGTCCATCCATCTGCTCGTCCATCGTCCGTCTGTCCACTGTCTGTCCATCCATCTGCTCATCCATTGTCCGTCTGTTCATCTGTCCGTCCACCCATCTGCTCGTCCATTGTCCATCTGTCCGTCCACCCATCTCCCTGTCCACTGTCCACCTGCCTGTCCATCCATTTTCCCGTCCATCTGCCCTTTTGTCCGCCTGCCCCGAGCCCCACCCAGCCCCACTTCAAGGACCATCCAAGCCGTCCCAGAACCATCCGGAACATGCTGGGTCTCCAGACTCACGGCTGCCGTGGCCCTGCCCACAGGCCCCCGGCCAGGCCTGTCCTCGTGGGGGCCAGGAGAGCAAGTAGTGGGGACCCGCCTGCAGGGTAGGGGGCGGCGGCCTCTCCCCACGGCCCCATGGCCTCTAGACCTGAGGACACTGTCCCCAGAGGGGCGGGCAGTTCTGTGAGCAGGGCCCCAGGCCCAGGTGACCACAGAGGCGCTGAGCACGGCAGGTGCTACAGAGTCACCCAGGGGGAGTTCCGGAAGGTTCTGGAAGGCTTCACACGCTGGGCACGCGGGAGGCCTGGTCTGAGCTTCCTTCCAGCCGGGCGCCTCCTGGGAGAGGCAGCAACCCAGGGCGGCTCACCAGGGGCCCAGGGTGGGCAGTTGGGGCCTCGGAGAGGCCAATACGGGGGACCAGTGTGGATGCAATAAACACGCAGGGTCAGGCTCGGTCCCGGGAGAATGTGGACACAGGAGCTGGAGCGACAGCCCAGCAGGGAGGGCGTTTGCCTGGCACGCGGCCAACCCCGGTTCGATCCACAGCGTCCCCTAGGGTCCCCCCCAGCACCGCCAGGAGTGATCCCTGAGTGCTGAGCCGGGAGTCAGCCCTGAGCATCGCCGGGGGGGGGGGGACCCAAAAAGGTCAAAATAATAATAATAATAATATAATAATAAGAGTCACGGGACTAGACACATAGTCTAGCAGGAAGGGCGTTTGCCTTGCACACAGACGACCCGGGTTCGATCCCCTGGCTTCCCTTAGGGTCCCCCGAGCACCACCAGGAGTGATTCCTGAGTGCAGAGCCCGGAGTCAGCCCTGAGCATCTCTGGGTGGGACCCAAAAAAAGGGGAAAAAAAACCCCAAAACCTGGGGCTGGAGCAATAGCACAGTGGGGAGGGCATTTGCCTGGCATGCAGCCGACCCGGGTTCGATCCTGGCATCCCATAGGTGAGACCCAAAAAAACAAACCCAAAACCTCAGCTGGTCTTTTACCTTGTCACTGCATGGGGCACTTCCCTCCCCCCCACCCAAAAAAAAAATAACCAAGAGAATCCTTGACAAAGCTATCAGAAATAGAACCAGTGGTTTGCGTAAACCTGTGACATTTTGATAGGATACGGAAAAATAAGAGTTGGAGTGATAGCAGAGCGGGCAGGGCATTTGCCTTGCACGTAGCCGACCCGGGTTCGATTCCCCCATTCCTCTCGGAGAGCCCGGCAAGCTCCCGAGAGGATCCCACCCGCACGGCAGAGCCTGCAAGCTCCCCATGGCATCTTCTGATGCCAAACACAGTCACAACAAGTCTCACCATGGAGACGTGCCTGGTGCCCGCTCGAGCAAATCGATGGACAACGGGAGGACAGTGCGACAGTGCATGGAAAAATAAAACTCAATTTTTTTCTGCAATTTTCCCCTACATCTAGCATTCCTGGCACTTTCTCCTAAGACACTGGTGGTGGTGGTAGTGGGTCCCCAAATGTCATCCTCCCCCGGCCCCCAAATAGTGGGTGAGGTCAGGGGGCCAGGGACGGACAGGCCACCCCAGGGTCTGAATGTCTCGGAAGGAGAAGATGAAAATGGAAGAAACACAGAATTAATTTGGCAGCAACAGAGCGGGCAGCCGTGAGGGGAGGAGCCCCCCAAAGTCTGCCGAGTGCCAGCGTCCGGCCCCTTGCACCCCACCCCTGGCCCTAGTATCAGCGTCCAGCAGGAACTGGAGGAACAGGAGAAGACCAAGCTACATAAAAACAGTAAAATGTTTATTTTCTTAGAAAAAAAGTCGGGGAGTGATTGCAATCACACTTCATCCGGGCACAGCCGGCGAGCGGGGGCACAGACGCCCCCGACTCCCACCACGGCCGACGCCGGCCGGGCTGTGGCCGTCAACCCCACCCCCAAAACTCAGCATCACGCCCCCCCTGAAGGAAATGAGGGCCGGTTTGCCCCAGTGGGGGGGGGGGGCGGGGGTGTTGGGAGAAGTCGAGGATTCGAACACAGAGCTCAGCCCGGCCTCACTCACTCCGAAACAGGCCGCAGAACCTCGACAAAAATGCACAAGTCTCTTTCCCAGGGGGGGGTGGCCCCAGAACGCTGGCCGCCGTCCCCAGACGCGGAGGGGGTGGGCGGGAAGAGACCCAAAAAAGTTCCAGAACGGTCCATGTGGCGGGAGCACTCACTCGCCCCTCTGGCGGGCGCGAGAGGGAGCACGGTGATCGAAGGGGGCGCGGGCGACAGGACCATCGTCTTTCGGCGTGGAGGGACACGGTCGTCGGACCAGACACTAGTCCTTGGCAGGAGACGGTTTCCACGGGGGTGTGACCTATTTACACAGCAGTCGCTCCAGGGTTGGGGGCCGCATGGACGTTATGTCACGTCTTCTTCTTCCGAACAGTAATCGCGACCCTGCGGGGGGTGGGGGAGGAAGAAACATCCGGAGAACCGCCCAGCAGGGGTCCCTGAGTCTCCGCACAAGACCCACTTTGCGGGATTAGGGGGAAGGCAAGACTCTGCAAAGTCTTTGCTCCAGTCCACGGCGGATGAGGCTGGGTTAAATATCAGCAAGTCCGGGTGGCACGCGGCCAACCCGGGTTCGATCCCGGGCATCCCCTAGGGTCCTCCAAGCACCGCCAGGAGTGATCCCTGAGCGCAGAGCCGGGAGTCAGCCCTGAGCATCGCCAGGTGTGGCCCGAAACCAAAACAAAAACCAAGAAACACCAACTGAACAAACAATAATATTCAAGAAGTAGTTTCCTGGGGCTGGACCAATAGCACAGCAGGTAGGGCGTTTGCCTTGCACACGGCCAACCCAGGTTCAATTCCCAGCATCCCATATGGTCCCCTGAGCACCGCCAGGGGTAACTCCTGAGTGCAGAGCCAGGAGGAAGCCCTGTGCATTGCCGGGTGTGACCCAAAAGGCAAAAAAAAAAAAAAAGAAAAAGAAAAAAAGTGGTTTCCTGGGGGCCAAACCGATGGATAGTAGGGAAGGTGCTTGTTTTGCTCACGGCCAACCCGGGTTCAATCCCTGGCATCCCCTAGGATCCCCTGAGCACCGCCACGAATGATTCCTGAGTGCAGAGCCGGGAGTCAGCCCTGAGCATCGCCAGGTGAGACCCAAACCACCACCACCCCCCACACACCAAAAAAAAAAAAAATTTAAAAAACGATCTCAGTTGTCAAAAACCTGGGTGTGGCAGTGATGCCGTGAAATGTGGCAGATGTAAATGAAGTTTGCCCTAGCTAGAGTGGGGCTGGGTCGGGGGGGTCCCGGGGCTCAGAAGTCTGGGAGGGTCCAGAAACAACAGATGGATGGAAATGGGGAGGTAAAACCGGCCCGTTAGCTCTCAGCGAACCCGGAGTCACGGAGGCCCGCCGTGTCCCTCCCAGCTCTCGGCTCTGCAGACGGGAATCTCCAGGTGCGGGGAGAGGCGGCCAGAATCTCCCTCTCGGGCCCTTCTTGGCTTCGACGCGTGCCCTCTCCCGGGCGGGCGGGTCGCACCGAGCGCCAAGTGTCAGGGGCCCCCCTGGGTCTGGGACGGGCGCCAGGAGGCTGTTGAGTCTCACGCCTCATCTCCAGGGGACGAGCAGGAAGTGGGGAGCCCCCAGCCCCTCTTGCGGAAGCAACCACCCCCCTGCCAAGAGCAATGGGGGGCTTTGTGGGGAGGGTCCGGGCGGCACCCCTGCGACAATAGGGTCCTTGTGTTGGGCACTGGGCAGCCCTTGGCGGCCCCAACCCCAGGCCCCAAGGCAGACAAGGAAGGGCTGTCTGGGAACTGAGCGGTCATTCAGGGGCACCGGCCCCCCGCGCACACGCTGGCTGGGTCTCCTGGGCTCACTCTGCTCTTTCCTCTTTTATTATTTTTCTTTTTTGGTTTTTTTTTTGGGGGGGGGAGGGGGCCACACCCGGTGACACTCAGGGCTGACTCCCAGCTCTGCAATCAGGACTCACTCCTGGCGGTGCTCGGGGGACCCTAGGGGATACCGGGGATCGAACCCGGGTCGGCCGCATGCCAGACCACCGCCCTCCCTGCTGTACTATCGCTCTGGTCTCAAATCCAGAAGAATTAAACCTGAGGAAACTGTTTCAAGGCTGAGTGGAACTATTCTGAATTTCGGACCTTTGCTCTTCCGAAGAAGTTCCCATTTCTTTTTGTCTTTCAGTTTCTTTATTCTTGGGGGGGGGGGAGGGTCAGACCTGGTGGTGCCCAAGCCCAGGAGAAGCCTTAGGGCTTAGGCCAGAGTTGTCCCTGGGGCTCGTCCCCTGGCCCCCAGCGCACGCTGAAGACCCCCTGGCACACGAGCCCGATAAATCCTCCTCACTGCCGGATTTATTTAGCGTCTCATTCTGCTGACTGAACCCCCAAGACCCAGTTCCGTGCGGACAATGAATGTCACATGTGCCGGGCCTGCAAACCCCAGGTGCTGATGCCCAAAACTCCGTGCCTCAGTTTCCCACCTCTGTATAAAGCAGCCGATTCTGACCCACAGATCTGAGGGAGGCATTTTAGCGACAGGCCACGAAACCTGCAGCCATTTAGCAAGCAGGAGGGATGCTGCCCACCTCCCGTGAGGGGTGGGCTGGGCCTCGGGGAGTGGAGGGGGGGGATGCAGGTCTCACGGTCTCCCCCAGACTTCGCACACCGCCATCCCCACCCCAAGTAGCACCTGTGATTCGAGGACCTCCACAGTCTCTGCCCCGGGCATCCTCCCCGTTCCCCACCCTGGCCACGTTCTTTGTCTCAGCAGGGAGACGGAATTTCCGTGGACCTCTGCCACCCTCACAAACGGCCCCCGCACATGGGAGTCAAACCCTGAGCCTCACCTTCTCGATCTTCTCGTCCAGCATTCGGAAAAACTCCTGTTGGCTCTCTGAGATGTGCATACTGCAAGACAAGACAGGGTCAGAGCCGCGGTGCTCGGGGGACCCTAGGGGATGCCGGGGATCGAACCCGGGTCGGCCACGTGCCAGGCCAACGCCCTCCCCGCTGTGCTTTCACTCCGGCACCAACATCTTAACTCTTGCGCTATTTCTTCTCCTTCCTTCCTTCCTTCCTTCCTTCCTTCCTTCCTTCCTTCCTCCCTCCCTCCCTCCCTCCCTCCCTCATTCCCTCCCTTCTCCTCCTCCTTTTCTTCCTTCCTTCCCTCCCTCCCTCCCTCCCTCCTTCCTAACTCCCTCCCTCCCTCCCTCCTTTCCTATTCTTGGGTTCCACCCGGCAATGCCCAGGGCTGACTCCTGGCTCTGCACTCAGGAATCACTCCTGGCGGTGCTTGGGGGACCCTATGGGATGCCGGGGATCGAACCCAGGTCGGCCGCGTGCAAGGCCAACGCCCTCCCCGCTGGGCTGTGTCTCTAGCCCTTCTTCTCTCTGATCTGAATCAGCAGCTCTATACCTTGTGGGGTCGGTCGTGGGTCCCACCTGTCCCCAATGACCGCAGCGGGCGGTCACTCAAGGGGCTGAGGGAACGCACCCCGCACCCGAGCGCGACGCTTAACAACGCGGCGAGGAGACGAGAAGGGACTTACTTTGCTCGAGGCTGGTGCACCAGGCCCGGGATCTCCCTGTTTGTTTTCAGTCTGATGTTGGAACCGGCGCTTTTCTCCTGCAACACACGGCCACACGGAGGGGGTCACTGGGGTCGTGGTGAGGGTCTGGGCTTGCCTCACCGGCAGGGACGGGAACAGCGGGCAGCCGGGACCCTCTGGGGTGGCCTCGGCACAGGGCACAGACCCCCGACGTCGAGGGAGATGCCACGGCCTGTTGTCACGGAGACCGTGGCGGGCCAGGGCCGATTAGCAAATCCTGGACATGTGAAATTGAAGTGGGTTTAAGGGAACCAGCAAGAGAATCGAAGAACCGCAGGGTTCTGACGCCAGGAAGTCCTGGCTTATCTTGGGAATTATTTTACTTATGTGATGAATTTGGAATTTTGGGGAGGGACTCGCCTAGCAGTGCTCAGGGGTACTCCTAGACCAGTGCTCAGGGATCTCTCCACCCCACCCCCGGTTCTCTCGGCAAACCAGGGAAGGCTTCTCGTCTTAGGTCAAGTTTTTGTTTGCTTGTTTTTAGTTTGGGGCCACACTCAGTGATGCTCAGGGCTTACTTCTGGCTCTGCACTCAGGGGTCACTCCTGATCGTGCTGGTTACAGGGGTCTCATAACTGGTGCTGGGGGCTCGAACCTGGGTTGGCCATGTGCAAGGCCAAGTGCCTTCCTGCCGTCCAATCTCTCCGGCCCCTTTAACTGTCCCACCTCAGGGAACGTCCGAGCCAGTGGGCGTTCGTCAGAATGGATATTCGCGGATGGAAACCAGCCTGGGGCCCTCATGGACCATCTCAAGGAGCTGGGCTGTGCATGAGCGGCCTGGGAGAAGGTTCTGGATGCCTGTACAGGTGAGAGCCAGGCCGAGCCCGAGTCTGGTTGGATGGAACCTCCCCGCCTCCACGGGGACCACTAAGCAGTCAGGAACGTGCTGGGTTCTTGGAAGCCGGTTTTGGGGTCCGACCTGGCGATGCTCGGGGCTGACTCCTGGCTCTGCACTCAGGAGTCACTCCTGGTGGTGCTCGAGGGACCCTATGGGATGCCGGGATCGAACCCGGGTCGGCCGCATGCCAGGCAAGCACCCTCCCCGCTGTGCTATCACTCCGGCTCCAGAGAACTGGACCCCGGAGCACCCACTACGTCCACTCCGACAACCAACCGTGGTTGCAGCTGGGCCACTGGCCCTGGGCACAGACACCCCATTGCTCAAGAAGGCGGAGTCCAGGCACCTGGGCGGCCCAGAGCCGGTGTCCAGCCGGCCACCCCAGAGCCGTGGACAGACGAGGTCGCCGCCGTGAGCTCACTGTGCAGGCAGACCAGGAAGGCAGGGGGAGGCCAGTGGTCAGGACCCTCCTTCCTGGGGACCCCACAGCCTGGAGCCGCGGCCCTGGAACCACTTCCAGAACAGACGGGTCCACCACTGCTCCGGTCCCTTCCACACCCCTCCAGCGGCTTCCGGAACCTCCCTTAGCAATGCTCTGCCTCTGGGCCTGACAACGTCCTTCGATGGCAAACAGAGATGGTTTATGGACTCCCCCAGGCTGGCTGGAACCCAGGCAACGAGACGCAGAGAGGAGGTGAAAGTGGAAGTCGGGATCCCTTCCACCCAAGGAAATTCTCTCCTGGTTAGGACAGTCTCAACTCCAGGAGAAGGTGCGGGAGAAAGGGCCTGGCCCAGAGGAAGACTCTGGGTTTCCTCGTGGGAGAGTCAGAAAGGATTTGTGCCCTGGGGGGGCGGAGGGTCCTACAACAGGTCCCCTGCAGCTGGATCAGTGAGCTAGGGGCGCAGTCATGTCTAATAAACATCTGTTCTGGCTGGAGCGATAGCACAGTGCGAAGGGGCCTGGTATGTGACCCGTGTTCGATCCCCGGCATCCCCTAGGGTCCCCCGAGCACCGCCAGGGGTGATTCCTGAGTGCAGAGCCAGGAGGAACCCTGAGCATCGCTGGGTGTGGCCCAAAGAGCAAATAAATAAATTAATTAAATTAAATGAAAATAGACGCATCTGGGGCCAGAGCGATAGCACAGCAGGGAAGACATTGGTCTGGCACGCGGCCGACCCGGGTTCGATTCCCGGCATCCCCGAGGGTCCCCGGAGCACCGCCAGGAGCGATTCCTGAGTGCAGAGCCGGGAGTCAGCCCTGAGCATCGCCGGGTGGGACCCAAAAAGCAAAAAAAACAAAACCACAAATCCACAAACATCTGTTCGATGTCAGCCACTCGCCCCGTCCACTGGGGCCTGAAGCGCAGATGGACCTCGCAAAGCGGCTTCATTACGCGTCCAGTTCCCCATCACTCTGGCAGAAACATCCATCAGCATCCCACCTGCCACCTGCCCAAGCCCGGGACTCAATCGAAAGCTAAATGACATGCAGGTGCTCCCCCGGAGGGAGGGGCCGTTTAAGTGAGCGGAACCAAAACTCTCGCCGGCAGGAAACGGGACCCTCAGCTCTCAGGGTCCGCAGGGAAGCGGGACGCCAAGAAAACGCTCCTGAATAAATCCCATGTTCCGGAAACGCCAGGTGGCGACAGAGCTGAGGGATTCATGAGCGTGTGCACTGGGTCTCAAAATAGAAGACGTCGGGGTTGGAGCGATAGCACAGCGGATAGAGTGTTTGCCTTGCATGAGGCCAACCCGGGTTCGATCCCCGGCATCCCCCGGGGTCCCCCGAGCACCGCCAGGAGTGATCCCTGAGTGCAGAGCCGGGAGTCAGTCCTGAGCATCGCCGGGTGGGACCCAACAAGCAATCGATCAATCAATAGTGATGAACTGGGGGCCTGGGCAATACCACAACAGATAGGACATTGGCCTTGCATGCGGCTGACCCGGGTTCGATCCCTGGCATCCCCCAGGGTTCCCCGAGCCCCACCAGAAGTGATTCCTGAGCTCAGAGCCAGGAGTCAGCCCTGAGCATCGCCGGGTGTGGTCCCTGCCTCAAAATAAAAGGCAGTGGGTGGCAGGACAGAGAAACTCGGAAACACTGGCTGATGGCCAACGCATAGTACTGACCCATGCCGGGAACCCAGTGGGTTCAGGGGGTCCCTGCCAGAGAGTAACAGTTGCCCCTGTAATAGATGGCACTGAAAGAACAAGTTACTTTTTTTTTTTGCTTTTTGGGTCCCACCCGGCGATGCTCAGGGCTGACTCCTGGCTCTGCACTCAGGGATCACTCCTGGTGGGGCTCGGGGGACCCTAAGGGATGCCGGGGATCAAACCCGGGTCGGCCACATGCCAGGCTAACGCCCTTCCCGCTGTGCTACTGCTTGTGTTTTTTATTTATTTGTTATTTTATTTATTTAACGCCCTACCTGCTGACCTACTGCCCAGGTCCCTGGTTCATCACTCTTTATTGATTGATTGATTGCTTGATTGCTTTTTGGGTCCCACCTGGCGATGCTCAGGGTAGACTCCCGCTCTGCACTCAGGAATCACTCCTGGTGGTGCTCGGGGAACCCTAGGGGATGCCAGGGATTGAACCTGGGTCCGCCGCGTGCCAGGCTAAAGCCCTTCCCGCTGGGCTATCGCTCCGGCCCCAGAACCAGTCACCCTTCCAATGTTTAGATTATCCTGTCCTGCAAGTTCCGAACCTCTAGCCATGAGCCTGGCTGTCAAATAGATTTCAGGGGGGGACAATTCCAACCAGAAGGTTCCAGCAGCCTCGCTTCGAGGGGCTGCCACCCCGCACACCCTCTGGAGAGGGGTGGGCCAGGCTGCAGCAGCTCATTGCTCCGAGAGACAGAACCAGGCTCAGTGGGGGGCGGGAGGGGACGTGGCAGGAAGGCGGCGAGTGTGTGACGCTTGGTCCCGCAATGACAGTGACTCAGTGTGACGGAAAATAGCCCCTGCCTCCAGGACGACGCTGCTGCTCTCGTCTCTGCCGGCTAAACTTAGCCCTGGGGGCCTGGGCCCCGCAGGGACGCTTCACCCCGCTCGTAGCAGGGCCGGAACTGGCCACCAACCTCCAGGCCCAGGTCACCGTCCAGCCAGTGTCCAGCCGGCCGTGGCCACTGCAGACCTGACTCTGTCCTGCCACTTCCAAAGCCAGTTCGAGGCCCCTTCCTGCTCCTGGGTACCCGGCTGCCCACCCCGGCACGGACACCAGGGAGAGGGGCAGCAGCCGGAAGAGGTGTCACACACAGCGCATGTGTGCAGGTGTGTGTGGGTAAGTATGTTGTGTGTGTGTGCGTATGGACGGATATGTGTGGAGGTGAGTGCATGTACACGGGGGTGTGTGTACACGAGGATGTGTGCTGTGCACATACGGGTGTGAGTGCGTGTACACGAGTGTGTCCGTGTGTGTACCAGTCTGTGTGCGTGTGCGCACAGGCGGGTGTGTAGGTGAGTACGTGTATGGGTGTGAATGTGTGTACACGGGTGCTGTGTGTGAGTATGGAAATGAGTGCGTGTACACTAGTGTGGCTGTGTGTGTGCTGGTGTGTGTATAGGTGAGTGCGTGTATGGGTGTGAGTGTGTGTACACGGGTGTGTGCTGCGCATTTACGGGTGTGTGTGTACATGAGTGTGTGTCTATGTGTGTACCGCTGTGTATGTTAGTGCATGTATGGGTGTGTGTGCAGACGTACACAAGTGTCTGTGCATGCATATGAGTGTGTGTAGAGATGAGTGCGTGTACATGGGGGTGTGTGTACACAGGGATGTGTGCTGTGCATGTACAGGTGTGTACATGAGTGTGTACATGAGTGTGTGTGCGTGTACATGAGTGTGTCTGTGTACCAGTGTGTGTGAGTGCATGTGTGCATAGTGGGTATGTAGGTGAGTGCATGTATGGAGGGTGTGAATGTGTGTACATGGGTGTGTGCTGTATGGATGTGAGTGCGTGTACAAGAGTGTGTGTGCGTGCCGGTGTGTGTATAGGTGAGTGCATGTATGGGCGTGCACAGTGTGAGTGTGCACATGGGTGTGCGCTGTGTGTGTACAGGTGCGTGTACACAAGTGTCTTCGTGTACATGGGTGTGTGTACACGAGTGTGTACCAGTGTGTGTGTACAGGTTTGAGCAAGTGTGTACAGTTTGGGTGCGAGTACACGGGTGTGTCTGTGTAT